CAGCGTTCCCTTCGTTCTCAAAACTCCATGAAACGGCACCCCGCTCGGCGAAGTTTTCATCGAGTCCTTCCCGCTTATTTCAACCGTCTCCCTCTAAAGCCCGCACCGAATTCTCCTATCTTCAAATCACGTTTACTTTTTTATTACACGAATGTAAGGGTTTTTTTCCAGCTAATATTTCTCGGGCGTAGCCGCGAGATATTAAGATTTTTTTGAATGCTGTTCACCCTCACCTTATTTCTTTTACGTCCTTTAAGACACAAGCAATGAAGCGAAATCAGAGAAAATCATAAAAAGTAATGATTTACCCAGAATCGGCCCCATTGTGATGAGAGTTCACCGCGATTGACGTTTTTACAAAAAGTTTCCGAAAAGATTTTATTATATCTCTAAAGAAATATATCGTAACCAAAGAAAGCAATGCAGCATCGAAACAGACCCAATAATAGGACAAATAAGCTAATATGGTGTAATAAACATTTAATGAAGACTAGTTCAAACGTATTGAAGTTACTCCAAAAGTACGCGCGTCTGTTTTAGTGTGTGACAGAGAAGAGCGATTGGTATGATTCACTCTCAAAACAGTCCGGTGAAATAGAGCTCGTTAATTGAACAATAATGAATTCTGCGTTCCACTTCCATTTATATCGTCGGGTAGTATGTAGTCCACGTTAACAATAATTGTCAATAATATATCATTTCCTTGATCGCTCAACTTGTGGACCCATCACGCCATTATTCATCGTGATGCACGGTGTTTTCTCTCATGCAGGTGTTGCGTGATCGGTAATTTGGAGCAATGCACGTAATTTAGGTGTAATTCCGCTACCTCGAGAGCACATGAACAAATGAGCAACGTACGGACGTTTGTGTGTGTCAACCTTCAAAATCATTTTGTGAGTATAAAGACAAACATATAACAGTTTTTAAAAAGAGACTGTCACAATTTGATACAGGGATTAGCGTTAGAGAATAGATAACAGTGAATCCTCATCAAATTAATTGATAATCAGAGACAATGCAGTATTAATTTACTCATAGAAGTACTTAATCATTAAAAATCAATATAACATTTGTTTGTTATGTGAATTTACTTTCCCAAAACTATAAATAGAAGTGGAGAATACAAAATCTGCCCACGCGATTCTCTTAAATATTGTTTAAGGTAATCATAAAGCAATACGGCGCTGTGACGACGTTCATTTTTATTTTTTTAATTAACATATCTTAATTGTTAATAATCAAATAATACATTAGTTTCAACCAGAAATTGTCCACGAACACGGACAGACTTCAGCAGTAAGACTTCTCTTGACGTTTCTCTCCAGAATTCACGCGAGAGGGAACGTGAACTGCTCTCCGCGATGATTCAAACTGCTGGCACTCCTGCTAATGAATTTGCATCCGAGGGGTGGGGGTCGCACACATTCAGCGTCAGACGGGGAGCGTGGGTGGGAGCGAGGAGTGGGCGGGGGCGGAGGCGG